CAAAAAAAGAACACAGATTTGTTTATTGCTTCACAACATTTTGGGAATGCATTGGATACGACTACAAAGTACAGACTGAATTTCGACGAAGCTAAAAAAGAAGCAGTTGCAGTTGCTAGCAAGTGGTGTGTTAAAGTAAAGTTTAAAGAAAAAAGATTTCTAAAAGTAAAGCGACATTTTGATGAGTTGGCCGATAATCAGAGATTGACTGACTCAGAAGACAAGTTTCGAGTTATTATTTTTAACCGTGTGTTACACATTGTGAACACATAATTGAAAAATAGATTCCAAGGAATGCATGACAATGTAAGCAGTTTTACGTTACTTTTTCCAAATGTCAATGAACTGTGAAATAAAATAAAATTAGAATAGTTAATCAAACTACTAGTTGTGCATTATACCCCCATTCACAGTCACAGTGGCTACAGCAGAAAGATCATTTTCAAATTTTAAATCCAAAAAAATTATTTTCGTAATTCAATGGGTCAAGATCGCCTTCAGGGTTTAGCCTTGTTGAGCATTGAAGCCTCGCGGGCAAAAGTTATGGATGTTGACCAGATAATTGACCGATTTGCAGATATAAAGAGTCATCGCAAGGACTTGTCTTAGATTAATAATCTGTACTGTGTATAAAAATATAATATGTGTAAGTATATAAATGTATATAATATATGCCTCAAGCTAAATTTTTATGCCAAAACTTGCGTGAAATAAAGAAAATTCGGAAAAAAGAGCGTCGATCGCACACGACGACGCATGCATTTTTCAAAAGGGACATGCATTTCTCAAAAGTGGATCGATAATTAAAAACGTTAAATTATTGTCTACTTAACTGTCATGGATTGTATGGGGGATTAGGGGTCCCTTTCAAAAGCCTTGCGAGGGGGGGGAGGGGGAGGGTCAGAATTTGAAGTTACGCCACTGAATAGAGTATCCAGAATAACTTTAGTGTATTAATTTTTTTGCACTTGGTTTTTTTTAAATTCTAAACTTAATTATCACTACTTTTTCTCCTGCATAAAGGGAATCAGGGCCGCCGAGAGGGGGGAGGCAAAAGAGGCATACGTGCCCCGGACGCCAAGATTATAGGGGCGCTAAAAAAATGATAATTTTTTTTTTAAGTGTCTATACGGTGTTTAACTTTTAATTTAAATGTTTTGTGATTTTATATCATGTTTTATTGTATAATTTCATGAAATAAATAAAAAGTTTATTTAATTTACAACATTGGTTTTCATGTATACAGTTATTATGTTTAGTGCTGTGAGTTTGCTTTCAGAGAGAACTTTTTTTGTATATATGCATATTAAGAAATTGACGACGTATTACATTTTGGCATTAAATCTTACGAAAGTATTAACGTGCATATTTCAATGTCAATCTATGCAATTCCATTTCAAATGTCAAATCTACATATTTAAAGGTGAAATAAGAAAAGAAAAGAAAGAAAAAAAAAAAAAGGAATAAATTAAAAAATTATTTTATAGATGTAAAACAAGGTTAAAAGATTTAAATAAGTATAGATTAAAAAAACAAAAACAAATAAAAACAGAATACAAGCTAAAAGAAAAAAAATGTTCGAAAATAGTAAATAAAAAAGGTACGGCAATCAAACAAACTTTAGAGTCTGAGGTAGCGAGGTGGCGTGAAATATTGTGCTGTATTTTGGATGTAACATTGTTTCTCTCATCACGAAACATGGCGTTTAGAGGTAAACTTTATTTTTACTTAGCTATTGATATTAATTGTATAAACAATATTTTTTACAGATTCTTGTGTTATTAACAGGTCAAACATCTGCTCTTGGAGAGCAAGAAAGTGGCAATTTTCTAGGAGCTATAGACATGATTTCATACCACAACAAAACGTTAAAAAACCATCTAGAAAACCTAGCTCGTCACCAAAAAGAGGGAACTCGAATGAAGGCACACTACCTCTCATGGAAATCACAGAATGAGTTCATACGTGAGTGTGCTTCATTGGTTCAGATACCCAGACGTTTCATACACTGAACAGATCACTTTTATTCTTCGCTTTGTTCATTTCAGTTTCAACAAAAAAAGCTGGGAGGCAAAAGAGCGCTTTCTTTGCGTTAAAGACATGGGGAAAAAAGAGGAGTGAATATTGCAAAACTATTTTGTGATGTTTTAATAAAAGTAAATCTTGACTTGCAGAAATGTCGTGGCCAAGGTTACGACAACGGCTCAATTATGGCTGGAATTTACGTTGGAGCACAAGCTTAAATTTTACAGAAAAATCCGTTAGTCTTCTATATTCATTGTGGTGCCCATAGTCTTAATTTAGCTGGAGTACATGCAGTTGAATCTTGTAATGAGATGAAGCTTGGATATTACCTTCTTCGGTAATACCCACGCTCTCAACGTGTTTTTCAGCTGCAGTCTGGCTAGGTGGAAGATTTTGCAAGAATTGACTGGAATCTCTCTTCACAAGCTTTCCGATACCAGGTGGTCAGCTCGGATTGCCGCTGTTTAGCCAATAGCAAAACGAACCACGGCTGTTTCACTCAATATAAAAGCGAGCTTGACGTCACAAAAATTTTTGAGTTTAAAAAAAAAGAATTTCCGCATAAAAAGTATAAAAATTCACTAACTTTAAAATAGTACTGTTTTTTTCTATGAACGCTTTTATCTTCAAATTTAAAAAAATATAAAAGATCTTTCTTCGTTAAACATTTAAAAATGATTTAGGATCTTTTCTAGTTTTTGCGTTTTTTATGGAAAACCTGTTTTGGGCCAACTTAAATTGCTTAACTTATTGTTATGCTTTATGTTTGAAATTTGAAGCACTTGTCAATAAGTGTCTAATCTATTCGATTCCTATGTCATCCGTGTGTTATTTTTATGAAATGTTTGTTTTTGCTGCATTTTTATTTTAAATTTTACCAATTTCAAGTGCAATACGTAATATTTTTGATGGATGACATAAGATATTGAAATTTCAAACTTTTATGCAAATTAAAATTATAAAACTATTTTATGTACTTTCAGCTATGTTAAGCAATATGTTTTCAAACTTGGCATGATTAACAACTTTTTCTATTTTTTCGCGTAAAATTTTGTTTACGTTATTATTACATAATTTTATTACGTTATTTGTGATTTTGTTGTATGACTTAATTATCTCTGTTTCAATTAACATAAAGTTTGAGTAATATTAAAGTTCGAGTAATAGTCTTATAATGTTTATAACTTGATATTAAATGTTAGGAATATATATTTTCAATTTTTTTTTTTTTGATAAAAAGTAACAACAAATTACTAAAGTTTAACTAATTTTATCATTTGTCGCGCTTTTTCTAAACTAAAAGAAGATTTTTTACTATTATATTAAATGTCATATGATAAAACATTTTATTGTTGTTTTTATTCCTTTTACAAAACAAAATTATCTTTAATATTTTAAAAGTTATAAATATTTTAGTAACACCACTTACGTTAAAATTTAAAAAAAAAAAAAAAAACAACAACAAGAAGCCGTAAAGCTCACACTGAAACAGCCGGATAATTACTGCCCTTAATCGTACCATAGAGGATCTTGACTTGACTGTTGACATGCTAAATCAAGCTAAGTCTTCGGTGAAGTTTTTTAAATCCTTTGAAACTGTTGTACTTCTGACCTTTTGTTATGAATTTCTTCAAGTAGCAGATGAAGTAAGCCATTTGTTTCAGTCAACGTCACTAACAATAGATGACGAAGTTATTCTAATTCAACAGCTAATAAGCGATCTTGGCCGTATCCGCTCATCATGGAATAATATTTTGACTGAAGCGAAAGCTGTTGCAGGTCCTTTAAGCTTTGAAACGGAATTTTTGACAAAACGAAAGAAGAGAGCGAAACGGTATCACGTTGAACTTGCAAATGCAGCTTTCTGCTATGAGAGCCCCGAGCATCAATTTGAAGTAAACATCTTCAGCGTTGCTCTTGATCATTTTATATATAAAATTCAGTCAAGATTTGACATAGAAAAGTTTCCTCAGGATTTTCATTCATCTGATTGAAAATCCAAGAACCAGATCAACCAAGATCAAGAGAGAAAAGCTCGTGAATTAGCACAATAAATTTTGCATCTTAATCGTTTGAAAGAGTCTTCGTTATTTATTCTTGGAAACTAATTGAGCTTTCTCAACCAAATACATTCAAAGAGTCTGCAGCCTATTTTTCCATATGTATGCATTTTAAATCGAATTTTTAATACAATGCCAGTATCTTTTGCAGGGTGAGCGATCCTTCAGTAAACTTAAATTGATAAAGAACTATTGTAGGGCCACTATGGGACAAGAACGCCTTTCGGATCTCATGATGCTTTCAGTGGAAAATGAGTTAGCTAAGACTCTGTCATTGATTATATAATAACAAATTTTGCAAGCAAGAAAAGAGTGTTTTATATAACCTGTTTTTTTTTATTTGAATTTCTAAAGAATGTATAATAATGCATTTATGTTGTATTTGCGTTGCCTAGTTGTATTTTTTTAAAGACGCAATGTTTGAAAATATTGCCGTAAAATGAAATAAACCACAATTAAGAAAATTCATTTTAAAACCATGTGTAATCATACATATGTAAGATTGCATTTGATAAAGTTTTTTTTTTTAAATAATGTATCTTTAAAGAGGCGCCTACTCAACGCTATGCCCCGGGTGCCATAAAAGCTCTCGGCGGCCCTGAAGGGAATGAACACTCGATAATAAGTGAAAATACAATAATGGATTTATAAAATAATTGATTTATATTTTTAATATAATAAATTATTTATAAATAAATAATGGATTTATAAAATAACCGAAGTGGTCAAAATTCCTTCTGTTTTTTTTAAACAAGTACGCGATAATGTTCAGAAGGAAAGCACGGAAGTAATTTTTCAAAGAAATGGACATTTATGGTTAAACATTACGCATTTAAAAAACTGAACTTGCATGGCTCATTATTGAAGAGAAAATACTTAACACAAAACATTTTTTTATTCTTAACAATTTTATCTCCCTTATAGTAAAAACATTTTTCTAAAGACTCTTTGCGCAATATTAGTACATTGCGACTTTTACCGACAGCTCCTTTCTTCTTACACACGTTGAAAGTACTATACTACGCCTTTTATATTGAGCTTGCCCGGTCGTAATTTTGCTAATAGAAAAGTAAGTATTTTCATAGAGATGTAATTATATGGTCAGTATGATATCTAAGGTTTAAACCTCCATTTAATGGTACTCAAGACTCAGTTTATGCAACATATTTGTTTATATTAAACATTTAAATAACAAATAGAAAAAGAAAATAAAAATAATTAGACTAAAAGTTATAAAAATTTTTTATAATTTACCAATAGTTGAAATTGAATATTTGTTTATTAGTTACTAATAATATATTTTGTCATGTTAAATGCATAAATTTACACGAAACATTCTATATAACGATATTTTTTAAAATTGCGTATTGAGAAATGAATTTGCAGTGGAAAAAAATTAAAATGATAACAAAGCTAGATGCAAATATAACAAAATTTGCAATTTAATTTCCTATTCTTTAGTACAATGGCTCCTCAAAAGTTTGATGATTTGGGCAAAGAAGCACGAGATCTTATTCAGAAGAATTTTCACTTTGGTGTTTTCAAACTTGAAGCCAAAACAAAGGCTAAAAATGGGGTGGTAAGTTTTTGAAACAAAGTTCAAAATTTAAAAATATATATGTATAATTTACTTTATTACACACCCCTCTTTGAAAAATTTTGGCATATGAAATTTTGCAATTGTAATTACGCTTTAACATATAGCGTCAAAATTGCCTTTTTTAAAATATTTTTTGTTTTGCATTTAATAGTGGCCTGAAATAACTGATTAAAAAAGTTGGTTGTAATTTAAATATTTTTCTTATAATCATTTAAAAGAAATGGTTTGGTGATAAAGCATTCAGATATATTTCAAACAAATTTATACCAAACATCACACTAAAATTAAGCATTAATTAAAGATGTTTTCAAAATATTTTTTTGTAATTGTTTATCCTTTAAATTTGATTGATCTTGAACCTTTAAAAATTAAAAATCTTTGTTTCCTACTCTTTTTCTAAGATCAGCAGTCAGTTAAAAATAATCTTCAATTATTATTATTTTTACAACTCTTTAGGGTATTCAATAGAGTTATTTGCATTTAACTGAGCCCTATATTTTCAACCACAAACTAAAAAGCATTGTTACCAATATGCATATAGCATTTGAGATGCCATTTGCATCAATAGGTCTCTCTCACAACTTGTTAAAAGAGTTAATTTAGAGCTCCATAATTGATGTCACTGGCTGAATAGTAGCTATAAATATCAATAAAACTAGGGTAAATTTGCTATTAAGTATTGTAAAATAATATTTTTCTTTTAAAATATTATACTTTAAAAAAAAAAATCATGATGGAGATTTTTTTGTTACTTCGCTAATAAATTGTTAAAGACTAGTTTTAAAATGCGAGAAGCACTGAAACTTTTTTCACAAACAATAGATAAGTTTTCTTTAATTAAGTCTAAACTAAGTTTGAACAATTTAAAAAAGTCTGAGATTAAAGCTCACATTTATTCTCTGATAACAAAAGTGCATAAAGCAAAATAATATATTTTATGATGCTTAACTGCAGACATAGCAAAACTGGTATTTTTCACTCTCTAAACAAAAAAATTGATAATGTTAAAATCAGTGTTAAACAGTGACTTTTTCTTTTTAATTAATTGTATAAACAGTTATGAGATATAACAGCAACATGCATACATGAGAATTTAAATCCAGATGCAAAGGAGAAAATATCATAATATTTTCTCCTTTGCAACTGGATCTAAAAAACATTAAAAATTTTTTTTTTAGACTTAATAAAGCTTTTTATCTTTTTTGTACTTGATCTTCTTAAGAATAATCTAGCTGATTCTTGTGTAAATTTCTTTATTTGATAAAATGGTACATAAAGTGTAAGTCACTTGATATACAGAAAATGGTAAATTATAATCTCTTTTTAACCTGTTAACAGTCCATGCTGTATTATTATGCAAATTAAAAGTAGTTTCTAAATGTCCATGCCGTAATATTACGGTTTTGTGCATCTCTTTATACTTCCTTCTAGTTCATCAGTAATTATACGTCTACTTGTCACAAAAGTTATTACTTGATAATTACAGAGCTTTTGTTTCAATAAATGTCTTTTAAATGTGTTCAGTTTAATTTTAAATATGACAAATAAGAAAGTTCTTACAGTGCAAAAATAATTATCAAAAAGTAAACATTTACTCACAAAAATATAGAATTTTATACTTTTGATGAATCAATAATGAAATAATAAATAATAAATAGTTATTGAAAATGATAATAAAAGATTAATGCTTAAAGATGGTGTGCGGTATGTTACAAACACAATATTCAAAAAGGTTTAGGTTATGAATGTGTAGAATGTGATGTAGGACTTTTTGCAGTTCCTTGCTTTTTACAATTATCATACAAAAAATCAGTATTAGTAAATAGATTTTTAAAATTTTATGTTTATGTAGTATGATTTATATATTCTTAAACTTGAATAATAAATAACATATTGTGTTTAGTAATGTTAAAAATAGTAACTAACATTCTTTGATCTATTAGTAAAAAAAACACGATGAATTTAAGAATACAGGACATTTAGAGACAACTTGAAAAAAAAAGCTGGAATAATTGCGACCTTTTTTAAAAATAAACACGGGACCGTTAAAGGGTTAACGCAATTAAATAAGACAATCTCTCTATAAAACAATATCATTTAACTTTTAAGAATCAAAAAATACCATTTACCAAAACAAAAAATTTAGCTGAATACCTTTTTATTAGTTCTCAAAGAATTTACATTAAAAAGAATTTTGTTTCAGTATATATCTGACAAATTTTATAATATTTTATTCAATTTTTATAATTAAATAAATGGAGAATGTAAACCAATTATTTTTGTACCTATTAATCTTGATTTCTGTAAGTCATTACTTTTCATTTTGACAGTTAGAGCTTAAATAATAAAATGAAAAGTAATCAACTTGTGCTGTTTTCTGTATATCTAATTTTTTTTTAAAGGAATTTACTGCGGAAGGGTCACATACGACAGATACTGGTAATGTTGCTGGTTCCCTTGAAACCAAGTTTAAATATGCTGATTATGGGCTTACTTTTTCTGAAAAATGGAGTACTGACAATGTAATAGCAACCACTATTAGTATTGATAACAAAATAGCACAAGGTGTCAAAGTAGACTTTGATACCACATTTGCTCCTGTAACTGGAAAGAAATCAGCCAAAGTAAAAAGTGCATATGCTCATGAGAATTTGCATGCCACTACTGATATAGATTTTGATTTTGCTGGTCCCACTGTTCATGGTTCTGCAGTTTTTGCTTATAAAGGATTTCATGCTGGTTATCAAGCATCTTTTAACTCTGCTAATTCAAAATTGACTTCGAACAATGTTTGTTTAGCATACAAAAATGGTGATTTGGTTATTCATTCAGGAGTGTAAGCACGTTTTTAAATAGTACTTTTTTAACAAAGTTTATAAGGAAATTTGATTGCTTTTTTTTTTAGATTAGTTTTAATAATTTCATAATGGTATTGATTACAATCAGTTATAAAAAATATATGATTAAATATTTATTGAGCTTTATTAATTAATCACTTTTAGAGCAGATGCAAGCAAATTTGTTGGTTCAGTGCATCACCAAATTAATGAGCAATTGGCAGCTGCTGCATTATTGAGATGGACCTCTGGTCAAAATGCCACATCCTTTACCGTTGCGGCAAAATATGACATTGACAAAGATACTTTTTTAAAGGTTACTCTTTTTAAAATGTACTCTACTTCCAAATTCTGGTGTGTACTTTTTATGAAAATCATCAGGTGTATTTCATATGAGTGTATTTCATAATGTAGTTCCATTGTGTTAACAGCCCTCATGTCATTTAGGTCCCTTGCAAAGTTTGAAAAAAACGCTTACAAAGTAGGAGAATGTAAAAAAATTTTTAAATCATTTAGTTATACAATTTTTCACGCCTTTACAATGGCATTAAAGCTTTATATGAATGGCTTGTTAACAAAATCATTTAATTCCAATTCAATAGCTGTATTTTGAAATCAAAAGTAATGATATAAGCGTTAATATATAAATTAGTACTGATATATAAATCAGTAGAACCAGGATATGTAAGGTAATGTATTAATTATGCAAAAATACTTTTTTTAACGCTAGCTAAAACATGGAGTTTTAGCTAGCGTTAAAAAAGCACTTCAAAAAGCAATTGTTTATTTGATTTAGTACCTGTTGTGTTTTAAATGTTTCAAATATACTTTTTTATTAGTATGTGATATAATGAAATATTTTTCATTTAGACCAAAATCAATAATGATCTGCACTTAGGATTATCGTATGTCCAGAAACTTCGACCTGGCGTTCAGCTTACCCTTTCTTCGCTTATCAATGCTAAATCGTTTGAGCAAGGAGGTCACAAGCTTGGTCTCAGTCTAAATTTTGAAGCTTAAATTAGTTTTGGATGCAATTTATCGTAAAATCATTCTTTTATAGGTGTAAAACAAATAGATACTTTTGTTTGTCCTGTATTTCATGCTTTGTTTGCCGCAGGTCTAAATTGTGACTGCTTTTAGGAATGTAACTCGATGTTTTTTAGCAATCATTAAAAAATTTTTTTCTCATTTTTTATTTATTTATTTATTTTGCTAAATTACTTCAGCGTGGTTCTTTGGATATGTGTTGCTTTATTTGTATATATCCGTATTTCTTTTTCTCGTCATGTTTTTTTTTGTTGCCGTTTTATGTTCTTATAAAAAAAAATCTTAAACACATAAGTATACATTTAGAACCTATAATATAGGTCCTATATATACTTTTATTAACAAGGCTGTATTTTATGTCTATTAGTCTCATTAAATTCGATCACGTCAAAGTTTGATTATTACGAGGTAAAGTCCGCAATTTCCACGCTGTGTAACCAGGACCTTAATGTGTACTAGTCAACAGTGTTGCGTAAAATAAGTTAAATCTGCGTCCGTTTTAATTTATCTACCTATAGGCGTTACATATAGATAAAATAATTTTCTGTATCAAAGCCAAAATTTTTTGATATCAAAGCCAAATTTTTTGGCTCGAGATTAAATGCCTACGATTGCCGAAGGGCCGCAATAAATAATTTCTCATAAAATCTATTAATTTTTAACAGAAACTTAATACTATCTTAAGTAAAAAGATTTCAATCTAATTTAAAATCTAACTCTGGTCACTAAAAAACCATTTATAAAATTATTTGATATACAGAACCAGTAGCTCAACAAACATTTCGACAGATAAGACTAATGCCAGGGATCCTAGGCGGAAAATATTACTTGACGCCACGAAATACTCACGGAGGAACAAAACCAAAGGTTGAAAAATTAATTAAACTGCATTGCGATTGAATTGCTTGTTTTAATACAAGACTGTTCTTAAAGTTATAACGGGTGTGGTAAAGTAGCATTAAAACTCTAAATTTCCTTATATCAAATAATTTAAACTTATCAAAATGTTTAACAACTAATAGGACCCGTTAAATACGGGTCTTGTTGAGTCTATTCAACACTGACCGTTTCTATACTTTTCAAAAAATATATCCTAACTTTCTGGATCAGTAACACCTTTCCATAAACGTGGATCTTATAAGAGATTGGTAAGATTATAAGAGATAATGTTTGTATATATTTATGTGTGTGTATATATATATATATATATATATATATATATATATATATATATATATATATATATATATATATATATATATATATATATATATATATATATTATTTGTAATTTTAATATAATCTTTAGTAAACGATAGAGAAATAATTCACTCAAACAATTGCTTTATGAGCAACCAAAAAAAATTAGCATATGCAGAGCTTATTAAAAGCCTTATGAAAAACTTTTTCATTTTGAAAGAAAAACTCTGAACTTATATACTAAAAATTTAAGAAAGTCGTCTCTTAAGGATGTTAAATGCACAGATTTATCTAATTGAATACGTAAGCACTTAACATAAATAATTTTAAACTTTAATGACAGTTAATGAGTTCGGCAATAATAGATAGAAGTAACAAAGTATTTTAATTTGACAAACATGGACACACTTAAGTTTGGTTGAAAGCGCTATCTGAAACATCAAAAAAAATATCTTGGCTACGCTACTGAATACACATAGCATAAAATAATTGTTAGTACACACAATACAAAATATTCAGACATGTTTCTAGAATAATAAAGAAGCTAGACAACACAACCTAGCTCTACACCTGTGACACCACTTGGTATTAAAAGCTGCTAAATAACACCACAATTTAGTAACACTGCTTGGCATTAAGTGCCTAGAAACAACACTAATTAGTAACACCGGTTGGCCGGCAAGGGTCACAACTTTGCACTACAAGTAGCTAAGTAACACCAGATGGAAACAACTTAAAATAAACTTATATAAATCTAAGCACATAAAACATATATAAATACATACATATAACACATACTTATAAAAACAAACATATATATATATACACATAGAGCAGAAAAAAAAAATACAAAACATTAAAAACGCATTAACATATTTGTCAAATTTATAAGTTAAGAACATTTGTAAATACAACATTGTTTGTGTAATATTTGTTAAACGACATACCTTGTAATGCATGTTTATCAACTTTGAAAAATAAAAAATTAAACGATCTTGTTCCTGAACATGAACATATAATTGGCCGTGTGAAAAGCAAGACTTTTTGAGATAAACAACAACTTTATCAAATGTTTGACCTTGGCTTTTATTTATGGTCATTGAGTATGCTAACCTAACTGGAAACTGACGACGTTTGAGTGTAAAGGTAAGTTTGAATCCGATGGAGCTAATTGAACTCTAGGAACAAATACCCTGTTACCAGCTGATACACCTGTTACAACCTCACCATCAGTGTAATTGTTGTGTAGTGCACGCACCATCAAACGGGTTTCATTGCAAAGTCCACCTTTGAAATTTAAATTTCTAAGTAGCATTATAACATCATCAATTTTCAATTTTAGGCAATGAACAGGCATACTTGATGGAGTCAAACTATTTAAAAACTCGACTCGAAAGTTATAAATTTTATTATGATAATCAGTTTTAATGGTACCTGAACTTAAACATGTTCTGACATTACCCGGTAAACAATGAAGGACATCTTCATTTATTGCCAATGAATCAATATTTGTTAGCGTTAAAACAGCACGTTTTGCATAATCAGATTCCTCTGCGCCATCAAAAATCTTTTCCACAATTGATTCATTATCACTGAGAAAGCACTGCTCAGTTATTTGAATACACCCTTGCAAAGAATTTTCAGGGTTGACAGGTAATGTTCCACTTCCAAGCTTTATTAGCCATTGAGACAATTCCTCTTCTTCTATCTGAGCCGTCATATTTACAGTTAATGAGAACCTTTGCACATATTGCCAACATTCAAAACATTTTATACGTGGCTCCAAAACCTCTGCTGGTTGACCTTTCTTCACAACAGGAAGAATTCGTCTAAAGTCTCCACCCATTAGAATTTACTAATTGCGATGCAATCACTCTAAAAGTGAAACTCTAAGAAACGAATGGCAGATTTTCAGTGGTTTAGGAGTATAGTTGGCCTAATAACATAATACAAAATCGTATAATTTTTAAATGTTTTAATTGATCTATTTTTATTACTGAATTTGGCGGAACTAAGAAGATGACGTTTTAGCATTTTTGGCTTTTCTGTTTGATTTTTTGCTTCCACAGCAACACCTTCTAGAGTAGCAGGACTGTCTTATCAAGATTTATCTTTTTTAAGTTTCAGATCGTATTTTTTTCAGATTATGCGCAGCTCATGAAGACTAATTACGTGAACACACTATCTCAATCATGACACAAGCACAACATGTCGGCACGTTTACTACCGAAATTGTAAAACTATATAAAAATTTTAAATTTTAACAAAAATAAATGGTGTATGTCAAAAACGTTAACGCAATGCAGTTTTGAAACTGTAAAACTTGATATTGATACATCTTTCTTAAATAATTACAGACCAATATCAATCCTTCCCGTATTTTCAAAACTGCTCGAACGAATAATCTACAATCGTTTATATAAATACCTAACCACAAACAAAATCCTGAATGAAAACCAATATGGTTTTCAAACTCAGCACTCGACAGAGCATGCTTTCGTAGACCCCGTCAATAGAATTAGTGAATCAATCTATGAAAAGAAGTTCGTATTAGGAGTCTTTGTAGACTTGTCAAAAGCGTTCGACACAATAAATCATGAAATCCTACTAAAAAAGTTGGAAAAATACGGATTAAAAAACCATACACTGCAGTGGTTTAAAAGTTACCTGTATAACAGACAACAGTGTGTTATTACAGATGATAATTACCACAGTAAATTATTAAAATTAACTTGTGGTGTTCCTCAAGGTTCGATTCTTGCTCCTCTTTTGTTCCTAATCTATATAAACGACCTTCCAAAAGTTTCTAGCAAACTTGAATTTATAATGTTTGCAGACGATACAAATTTATTTTACTCTTCGACAAACATCAAGGATCTGTATGATAATGTAAACATAGAACTCCAAAAATTAAATATATGGTTTAAAACAAATAAGTTATCGCTAAACATAGAAAAAACAAAATACACTTTATTTCACTCAAACCAACAAAGAAACACACTACCAAATATTCTACCCTCTCTAAAAATAGAAAATATAGTAATTGAGAGAACTCACGAAACTAAATTTTTAGGAGTTATAATTGATGAAAATTTATCTTGGAAAAGTCAGATAAATGCTTTAAACACTAAAATATCAAAAAACATAGGTCTACTTTATAAAGCAAAACCTATGCTGTCGCAAAGTAATTTAAAACTTATATATTTCTCTTTTATACACAGCTACCTCATATATGCGAATATAGCTTGGGCGAGTACGCATATAACCAAATTGAAAACTTTATATCGACGTCAGAAACATGCTGTTAGACTTATCTACCATAAAGACAATTTTACACACACTGAACCCTTATTTAAAGAAATGAATGTGCTTAATATTTATCAAATTAATATTTACCAAAATATATTGTTTATGCTAAAATTTAAATTAGGTCAAGTACCAAACCATTTTTTAAATAACTTTTTTATAAATAACGTTAATAAATATTACACAAGAGAAAAAGGAATCTTTATTACACCTTTCAAAAAAACAAAACTTTCCCAGTTCTCAATTTCATATCGGGGTCCTTATTTATACAACAAACTAGTAACTAAAAATAAATCAATCTGCAATCTAGATTCAATTTGCAATCAAAATTTCTTGAAAAAAAAGTTAAAAAATCTGATACTGAATCTAAAAAGATACTCAGAATTCTTCTAAGACTATAAATTAAAATACATATATATCAACTACAAAGTGAACTGACTCGTTTATGTGTATTATCTAAATGAATTTTTTTTTTTTCTCAAATTTCTCAAACAATATATCAAAATGTGTTTATTACACACAAAAAAAACACTTGATTTTTTCTTATCAAGTTTAGTTATTATGCTGCTAGTTATGTCTAATATTTTATACTGAGCTTATTTTGAGTTTATTTTTTATTATGAGCTAAATTTAAA